ACACATGGTGAGCGCTTACCTGAATGAGCCAAGTGTGTGTCAGTGTGTGCTGGGCAGGGGAAGGCCGGGGCAGGATCATGCACATCGGTGGACACCTGACCCTGGGGTGTGCCCATATGTACGCGCATGCATGTTGGAGTGTGCCGTGTGTGGGGAACGCTGCTGTGTTCATACAGACGGGCGCGGGAACTGCACAGCCTGTGTGGCCTGTCTGCCCTCGTTCCTGTAGGACAGGGTCAGAGGCACTGGGCGGGGACTAGCTTTTCCCTGTGGAGTGAAGTCTGCGGGCCCCAGAGAGAAACAGGGTCCCAGGACCCAGTGTGGGTTCTCTGAGACTGTTCACAGAGGCTGGCCCAGGACTCTCGACCTGACTTGGGGGCATCTTAGGGCTGCGGCCAAGGCCGAGAGGCTGGACTGTGCCGCCCACGTACGAGGAGAGCAGCACCTTCCTGTTCATGCCTCAGAGGACTTAGGATGAGGTGTGGGGCCTCCTGGAGTCTCTAGAGGTCCCTGGAGCAGATGGGTGGGAAGGTGGAGGGGAAGGGGTGGAGTGGAGAGGTGTGAGGGCGGGAAGGGGGGCGGGAGAGACAGAGATGGGAGCAGATAGTGGAATGGCCTCCTGGGGCTCACCTGGCTTAAGGCTCCCACCACCCTGGGATGCAGGGGTCCGTGGTCTCCTTGATAGAGAGGCAAGCCAGGACTCAGAGAGGTCAAGGTACTTGCTGAGGGCCACAGAGCAAGGAAGCGAGGGTTCACATGGGAAGCCAGGCCTCTTGGACCCACAGGCCCTCTCAGGGCATCCTGAGGGCGCTCAGGTGGGTAGTTTCTCTATTTCCTAGAGGTAGGACACCCCTCAGATTCAGATACCTGGGGTGGACACTCAGGGGACAGGCTTGGGTCCTGGTGCCTTGTCCACCCCAAGTTCAGAGCAACCAGGTCTCACCAGCGTCCTCAGACCCTGGCCCATCCTGCCCACAGCCACGTGGCCGACGGGATTTCCGCCATGTTTGGGGCATGAATTGACAAGTGCCCCATTGACGGGCAAGGGAGGGGGTGGGCAGGGCACAAGCCTCCCACTGTGCCGGGTCCCCACCCTCCCCCGTCCCATGGGACAATGGCCGAGACTCAGCCAGCAGCCACAGCTGGTGGGGGGGGGTATGAGCACGAGGAGGGGTGTGAGGGAGGGGCCCAGGGTGGAGAGACCACCTGGGTCCCTGCCTGCTCCGTCCTGCACCTGGCTGGGTCCCCTCAGTTCCTCTCCTGCCCAGCTGGGTGGTCTTGATGTGAGGTGGAGAGAGGAGGGGAGAGGGCCACCTTCCCACCGCCTGGCCCACCCAGGAAAGGCCAGGGTCTGGCTCCTGTTCAAAGCAGGTAACGAAGGGCCTCAGGAAGGAGCAGCTGGGCACTCGGCCCACAGGATGGGGCGGCCCCCCGGGGGGCCTGTGCTCTGGACCAGAAGCACAGGATGGCCTGGGTCCCCACACCAGCAGGCCTGGTCCCGGACTCTGGCTTGCCACTCCCCGATTCCTCCCTTGGACTTCTACTGCGTGCCTACTGTGTGCTGGGATACTGGTACCCCAGAAGGGTATCCCTGGAAACCCTCAGCCTCAGTTTCCTCATCCGTAAAACAGAGAAAATGGAAAGCACCTGCCCTTAGGGGGTGTCAGAGAACTGAGTGGGCGCCTAGTGAAGGGTGTGGTGCGGGGCTCCACCCGGGGTCTGTGCTGGGCAGGAGAGTCCCCGCTGAGGGGACGGTCGAGTGGGCCGGTGGGACAGTCTGGGGATGATTTCAGCGGAAGCCTGAAGAGTGAAGAGGAGCCACTTTCTCTGGCCGGGGAACGGCGAGTGCAGAGGGCCTGATGTGGGGGTGGGATGGGGGTGTGTCCGCATGGAAAGGAAGAGGGCATTACGGGGGGAGGGCGCTCTGGGGCAGGAGGAGGCTGGGGCGGGCAGGTGAGGGGCCAAAGTGCCCAGCCTTGGACACCTGGAGGGCCGGGGGCCTACTTATCCCAATATCCCAAGGGGAGCAGGACAGGGATGCGGGTTTGTGACCTCATGGTGGCACTTTTTGGTTGTGGGGCCTTGTGCATCCTCTGGCAGCTCCCGTCCAGGGAGCCTCCTTCCAGGGAGGCCTTGAGGACCCAGGGACTCATGTTGGGGGCCAGTGACGGTCTGGGGCTCTTTAGGCAGCAGGGGAGGGGCACCCTCTACCTGCGCCTGGGGTTCTGCTCCAGCCTCTGGGTTCCGGGGTCCAGCAAGTGCCCATGTTGGTACTGATCTCCGGTGTGGCTCATGGGACACGCTGGGGCCTCTGTCTGGTGGCTGGTCTCTTTGTCTGGACAGTGTGGGGAGAAGACCAGGCCGTCCTCCAGGGCCTCCAGGGAGAGGGCGGGGGTCGGCCTTCCTCGGGAGGCCCTCCAGCTCCCCAGCCGTCCGACTCCCCCTGCCCCGGGCCCACCCCCAACCTGCCCGTCGCTCCCTCCTCCCCCTCCGTCCGCCCGGCCCCTGGCACGGGAGGGTCCCTCCTCCCCCCAGCCACATCTGGTTCTTGTTAGGGTCTCCCAGGATGCCTCTGCCCGAGGCCCCCCACCCTGGGGAGGTGGGCAGGAGGATTAGGGGCGATTAGGAGTGCTCCTGGCGGGAGGAGGCAGAGGAGGGGCTGGGCTTGTTATAAATAGCAGCACCATGACCGCGGCAGCCCATCATTCACGTGGATTCCAAGTTCAGCCTCCCAAACCTGCGCTTCAGCTGCCAGGACCGGGGCCACGCTCCGGAACCTTCCTTCTTCCCGGTTCCCTGGGCTTGACCCGCCCTCCGGAACCTTCCAGCCCGTCCTGCAGTGACACCACCAAGATCCAGGGGTGACTGGGAGGGAAAATGCACGAAGCACTTAGAACTGTGCAGGGCCTCAGCCAGCCTGAGCGCCTTCCGCTACCGTCACCTTCGTTGTCTCGTCACGATCATGAATCCCAAAGTACTGGCAGGCACTCAGTAGGAGCTGCCATCTTCATTGTCACCACTATGGTGGGACTGAGTGACGCGTAGCACAGGCAGAACGCTTGCACATGATGAATTCCTATGCCTGGCACACAGTAGGTGCTTAAAATTGGCAAGTATGGTTACCAGGGAGGGGCGGGAACGCAGCATGCAGATAGATGGTCCTTCCTAGCTCAACCAGTTTCTCTGTGGACGGCCATTGGCCGCGCGTGGTGGGTGTCTCCGTTGCCAGCTGGGTGAGCAGGGTGGGGGTCAGCAGGAGGGCCCTGGCCTGTGCAGGCAGCGCGTGACTCCTAGGAGGGCTTAGCCGCTCATTAATCACCTAAGCGGGGCTCAGCATTCTTGAAATGCCGGCTGGGGCCAGGGAGGGGCCTGGGCTGGGGGCTCAGGGACCCCAGGGACCGGGGGCTGGGAAGGGAAGGTGGTGTTCGCTGAGCCCTCACCGAGCGCCAGGCACCTCGAAGACCTGTCTCCATAGACTCACAGCTACCCTAAGAAGCGTTCCCTATTCTTGTCCCATTTTACTAATGAGGAGACTGAGGCTCAGAGAAGGCATGGCCTACCCAAGGTCACACAGCATGGAGTGGCTTAGCTGGGTTCTGTTCCTGTGCTGTCTGAGTCCTGTTCCCAGGGCTCATCAGAGAGGGGGGGCCTGAAGTGCAGACCCCAGACTTGGGGCTCCAGGGGCCTGTAGAAGGAGCCTTCCTGCCTCAGTGGGACTGGCCAGCCCAGGTCAGCAGGGTGGGCGGAGCAGCCCTCCATTATCGGGGTTGACGCATCTCCTACGTCAGCCCCCTTATCACCCCGCCCTCTGGCTCCCCCCGCAAGGTGACCCTGGGAGAGGAAAGGCCAGCGCCAACCGCCTCTCCTCCCCTCATGATGCCCAGGAGCCTGGACTGCCTTTTCTCTGCGTCCCTCCCCTTCATGGGGCCGGGGCCAGCAGGGAGGGCCCAGAAAGGGCCACAGTGGAGAGCAGAACCTGAGCTCCGGGGAATGCCGCTGTGGGACAGGGCAAGCCCTCCTCCCTGTGGGGGCCGAGGAGCCCCCTGACTGCAGCGGAACCAGCTGCAGGTGGCTCCCCACTCCCGGGCTCCCCAGGAGGTGGGGTCCTGCTCACGTGCCCACAGCTGGGCTGTCTGGATCCTGGAGGACAGGGCAGGACGACCCGTGCCACATCTGAGCCATGAGGGGTAGTGGGCCTCAGCTCCCTAAAACACCTGTTTGCTCTCACAGTCCCACAGACATA